CTGTTTTAAACTGTTCAATCTGTGGCAGTATTTGACCGGAATAAAAAGTTTCCCATAAATTGTTAGTCTCAATCCCGTAACTATTTGAGGAATATTAGAAGGTAGGCACAGGAATCGCATGTCACATACTGGATGAAGAGCCAGAAACAGAGAGAGGGCTTTGCATACTTGTAAGGACGGGAATTATCAGTACGGCCTTCTACTCGCCATGTGCTGAATGCATATATGTTGAATTTGTAAGACAGAATTGAGAATACGAAGAGAAGATCGATTAAGACGGACATCACAGGAGTGGAGAAAAAGACTGTATTAAGCGAAGACTGGAAAAATGGGTATAAAGTACGGAGAAGACTTATACAGCTTCCTTTTGGAAATACGGAGAAGATGCGGAGTTAGCAGGACGGTAAAACCGTGTTTGTCGATATTTCGCTGGGAGGGTCGTAAGCAGAATCGTTTGGAAAATATGGAGGTTACACTATGCCACCAGAGATAAAAAAGGCAGACTGGCTCTCGAGAAGTATTGCTAGAATGGCAGCGAAACAAATGCAAAGTAAAGAGGGACGGAGGGAGGGGGAAGACAGGAGATTAGGTAAGAACTTTTTAGAGCACTGGAGGAGCTCGGAGATCAAAAAAAAAATCGAAAAAGTATACTGCGACAGTACTCTGTTAAAATTATAGTAGAAATGTAAAAAATTTTATAGAAAACATAGAGGAACGCCGTTCAGCGGCCGATAATATGGCGCATGCTTTTGAAATCATTCGACATGTAGTTGGAGCAGTGCAAAAAATGTTTCTGCGTGTAGATGCAGCTTATAAAAGCCACACCAGACAGGAGAAGGAGAGTAACTGGTCCAGGAGAGAAGTTAGGAAGAAATTGGGTAGGAATTAAATGAGACTGTAGAAAAAAGGCTGCTGTTTATTATTGCGGATCACAAAAATGCGTATAAATCAGCGCGGCACATTGAATGATGGAATAACGAAAACCAACTTATGAACAAGACAGAGAAGACGATCGTTTG